GGAGCGGCCACCGAGCCGGGCCCTGGGCCAGCAGAGCAGCTTTATTTTATATTCCAAACACTCGGTACAAAGAGAGAAAGGCTGGTATAAATACACCGTGAGCGACGCGACGCGACGGGGAACGCAAGGAACCGGACACACAAGGGGAGGGGGCGAGATGTGGTCCTGCCGTCCTGCTGGGGTGGTCTGCAGGGAAAAGGCCAAGATCTGCTCCCTATGGAGAGCAGCAAGCACAGGGACAGCAGCTGGGATCCCCACCTTGGGCAGAGCAGTGCTGGTGGCTTGGGAACATTTCTCCCGGGGTTTGAGTCCTGATCCTTTTAGTGCAGGCAGCTCTGCAGGGGCAGAGGGCACATATCCCAGCAGGACACCTGGGAACCACATCCTGCCCCCAAAGGGAACAGAGGGAAAGGAGATGGTACAAACCAGCACCCTGTAACCAGAGAGAGAGAGGGCAGCTTTCCCAGCTCACGCTGCTCTGCATCCCCCTGAGCTCCAAGCAGCCACACAAACTACTTCAAGAAACAGCCTTGGCCCACATTTAGCTCAGTGCACAGCATCAGCAGCCTGGGACACAGAAACAGCCAAAAATGTAACACACCAGATGCAGAAAGGACAGGGCAGGCAGCTGGCTGCCCTGCTGGCACTGCTGCACTCTCTCCCCCTGCCATGCAGGGACAACAAACCAACCCATTTGTTGCCACCATCAGCCATGGTGGCCAAACATTAAGCACAAAACAGATTTGGTCTTCAAATTTAACACAAACGAATTAACAAGAGCATTCTTCCCAACCTAGGGCTTGCAGCCCCAACAGGAACCAAGAGCAACCAGAGTTTCAGAAGTATTTCCCCCCCATTGTAAGACCAACTTGTTCTCTTGCTCTTAACTCAAAGCAAAAACATTCCAACCTTGGCACCAGTGTTGTCACAAGCAAGGACTCAGTACTGTAAAGTTGTCCCTAAGGTTAAGGAGGGTTGTGATCCACTGAACTGCACCCACAACCATTTATTTAGAAATCCCACTACTGAGCAAAGGAGCAGGGAGTTCCCAGAGAATGAGGGGCAGGGCTACAACCAAGCCCAGTGCTCACTGCCTTGTGGGCATCAGGAAGAGCTCTCAGATCCAGCTGTTCCATCTGCCAGGTTAGGATCACAATGGTTTTCTTCCTGGCAAGCAGAGAGCCAAGCAGTGATGCCCCCTTGCTGGCCTGCAGCAGGATCCCCAGGGACACACAAGCTCTCTGGAAGGGGCTCCAGACATTCCAGGATTGTGTCTGTGATGGCTCTAAAGGCTGCCAGGAGAAACAGCAGATCCTCACCCTGCCAGCAGATGCATTAGGCACAGAGCAGCCTGGGGACAGAAGGTTTCTCTAGCACATTAAGGCACTTCAGCATCAATCCACTTCCTCTGCAGCCTGAATCACACCCACACCCACAGTGCTATTTTTGGGGTGGGGGGGGGATAAAAGGCTTAAGGCTTGTGGGGTAACAGTGCTCAGGGGGAGCATTTTCAGAGTGATCTTTTAGTTTTGCTTTATTCCCCACCTCTTGTTGACTACTGAAAGACTCCAGATGCTTTTACCTGAAGAAAGAAGGTTCTGCTCCCATGAATGGCTCCACAAGTATCCAGACCAGAGCTGTGCACACAGAATCTGAGGAGCCCTTAGGAGTGATCTAACTGACACACCTGTTTGCCTCTCAACTCCACAGATATTCCCTGAACACTCTGATAATCCTCTGGTCTTACTAGTCCCACAGGATCTGCGCAGAGAATTTATCAGAAAGACCAGGGCATACATTTCCTTTTAGTGATGACTTTAACTGTCACATTTGCATGTTCAGCACTTGACGTGCCTGGAAGGCAATTCAGAATTCATCTCCCAGCTTCAGAGACCACACCAGCAAATACAGCATAAACACATTCCACAAGATCAAAGCTACTGCAAAGCCCGACAACGAAGCCCTGAATGATTCCAGTTAACCAGCCAGCAGCTAAACACTGCTGGCAACAAAACCCCCTGATTTCTCACAGATTGCTTAAGTCACATTATCTTGTACCCAAACAAAGGGATGGTAAAGTGCTGAATAGGTTTTGGGTTGGAGGAGCTCTAGACTCCTGAGTCTTTATGTTCTGTCTTACTTTGGGGAGTGTTCTTTACTGGGTGATGCAGTTGTCTCCCATGTCCTGAGCGTATCTGTCAGATATCGCCGTCCTTAACTCCTCCACCTCTTTGTGAAGCTGTTTTACCTCCACCAGTTTCTTTGCAAGTCCATCAGGGCTCAGCAAGTCATCCCTCTCCTTAGCAGAGTGCTGCACAGCTGCAGAGGCAGAGAAAAGAGTTACCTCACATGCAGCTCTAACCAAGGATCACACATTTGCAAGCCAGAAAAACCAACACCCATTTCCAGAAGTACATTTAGATGTTCCAGCACAGAATCACAGAATCTTTAGGGGTCAAAAGGGACCTCAAGAGACCATCCAGTCCAACCCCCCTGCCAGAACAGGAAGCCTTCAGAGCCAGCTAACCCAGAAAGTTCATCCAGAATCCCAGAAAGATGAGAACCTTCCATGTTAAATGTGAGTTATTTAATCCTGCCACAGCACAGGGTTTGCTTTACTACTGCTCCACATACTTACAGCGAATGCCCAGGAGCAGAGAGAGGTTGGGGTCCTTGCCCTGAGCCCTCTGAGTGACAATGCTGTAGACAGACTGTAAGTCCTGCAGACAAGTGGCCAGCTCTCCGTGCAGCTCCTGGGCGAGGAGGGCTGTCTCAGCAGGCAGGGGCTGGGTGGTGAGTTCTGCCTGTCGGAGTCGTTCCTGGAGGGTCAAGTTCTTCTCAATCAGATCCTGGTTCTGCACTGAGAGCTGAAGAAGTGGACAGAACAGGTTAGTGATCACTTGGTACTGAACAAGCTTAATTCAACTGCTCGATCATCATAGGGTCATGGAATGGTTTGGGTTGGAAGGGACCTTCAAGATCATCCAGTTCCAACCCCCCTGCATGGGCAGGGACACCTCCCACCAGCCCAGGTTGCTCCAAGCCCCATCCAACCTGCCCTTCAACACTGCCAGGGATGGGGCAGCCACAGCTTCCCTGGGCAACCTGGGCTAGGCTCTCACCACCCTCACACCCAAGAATTTCCTCCTCATGCCCAACCTCAATCTCCCTCTTCCAGTTTTAATCCATCCCCCTTGTCCTCTTCCTCCCTGCCCTTGTCCCAAGCCCCTCCCCAGCTTTCCTGGAGCCCCTTCAGGCCCTGGAAGCTGCTCTAAGGTCTCCCTGGAGCCTTCTCTTCTCCAGGCTGAACACCCCAACTCTCCCAGCCTGACTCCAGAGCTGCTTCAGCCCTCAGATCATCATTCATGGCTTCCTCTGGATTCACTCCAGGAGCTCCATGTCCTTCTAACACTCAGAGCTCCAGAACATGACACAGAAATGATGATGGGAGCACTAAGGGCAGGAGGAAATGGTTATCATCAAGACCTCCAGATGAGCAAGACTCAGAACATTCAGCTTTCCTGGCTCAGACACTACAGCAACCCTGCCAAGGTGTGATGCAACAAAATAAGCTTCCAAGACATTGTGCACCCACTGCTCACCCCAACACTGACCACCTCTTCCCTCCAGGGCTGTCATTATGCTTGGCTTCCTTTAGGCTTGAGTGGGGCTCAGCCCTGCCCTTCAGCCAGAGTTGCAGTCAATTCTGGGCTCCTGCTCACCACCTTGCTGCCCCCAGCTGGCAAGCTCAGCCTCCTCCACCACAACCCAAAGCCCCAGCTGAAGTGCCCGGGGCAGAAACTGCTTTTCTCCTCCTGCTTTTGGAGAGAGGAGCTCCTTTCAGAGCACTGACAGGGCAACCAACTAGCAGGAAACAGGTGAGGTGGTGCTGCTGACTGCAAATTCAGGGTCTTGCTAAATACAACCCATTGTTCATTAGCTGTTATGCTCAGGCACTCCTAACACTCCTGCTCTGACCTCCTTCACAGCTGCCCGGAGCTGCTGCAGGGAATTTTCTCTTCTCATTGCCTCCTCCTTCAGAGCTTGGCTTGTCCCTTCTTCCTGGGCCACCTGTTCTTCCAGGTTCTGGA